ATATGTAATGTATTCATATAGATAAATAAAATATTCGAAAGCATTCTAACTATTCGTGTATACACATATTATTAATATTTCCTAGTTTAAAATGTCACATAAGATCATGATCCTTTGTAATGAGATGTAAATCGAAAACAGGTCTTGAGTTTGTTTAAATCATTGTGTAAAATAATGTAAATCATAAATTTTAATATTTATTACGTTTAAATTAACATGTAATGTTAATTTAAACGTAATCTAGGAAAATTTGATTCAGATTCGATTCAATTCGATCATGCAAATGCTAGACTCGCACACCTCTAGTTTAGACTAGAGATTACATGAAAGAACGGTATTGTATGCACTTATAGAAATGAGCTAAAAGCTTTAATGTAAACATAAAAGACTACTTGTTTGTAGAAAATTTGTTGCGATGTGTGTGTGCGATATTGATGCAATAGTAAACAAAAACACATCACTACATCAATATTGCACGCATATACACATATATATATATATATATATATATATATATATATGCATAAATCGTCGATAAAACAATGATTTTAGAATTTGATTTCCAATTTAGCGTCTCCTTAATATGATAATGTTTGCTTAATGTTTAAATCTTTCTTAAACGGTTGCGCTAAGTTTTTAAAGACCGGATAAAAATGAGAGTTTTGGATGTGAAATACGCTGATGTTTCATTTTAGTAATTCTGTAACTGGTTTATATATTGTTGACAATTTTTATTCTCCAGTGACGTGATAGACGAGATCGATTATCAATATTCGTTAATGATAAATATACATAGAAAGGGAAATGAAAATAAACAATCACGCAAATAATTCAGCTTGCTGTCGCAGCACTTCGTATATGAATAACCGAGGGTCTCTCGTCAAATCAATGGCGATCGAGCTTCGCCTGAAGACAAATTGGAAAAGGGCGCATCGAATATATTTGATCTCGTACGTCGCGCGTGATTCTCGATTGTGCAATCGCCGTCTTCATTATATTCTCGCTCACGTCGGAAAATTTGGACTAAGAACGGTGTGTGAAGTGGCACAAATAATAAAAGTAAAAAAAGAAAATAACAAAAGGCAGTGTGCGAAAGTGCGCCCGAATGCGAGGAAAAGCTATTAGATGGCATATCGATCCCCATTCAAGTTTCAAAGAAAACACCGGGGCCTCGATAATTTTTCTCGGCGTTTCTCACCACCATTTCTACGATTTAACGCAAGCTCGCGCAATGCACGCGACAGCATTTTAAACGAATACAAGTGCTTAATTCGCACAAGCATCATATCCTTTTGAAAATTTCAAGAAGTCGCAGCTCCGTAAATTTACACAAACTGTCGTACTGATTTCTTCCCCGAGTGAGAAAGACAATATCATCTCGAAAGAATCTAATAAAAAAATTAACATCGCAACTTTGCGCACTTTTCGACGCGTATCGAGGCGCAATACGAGAAACTTCGTTGCCAATCTCCGTTAATAAAAGCGATAATAAAGGCTTCGTGTAACCGAGACTCGCAACGCACGTGTTCACCACCGTTCCTAGCTTCGTAACTGCACAGACGTTACGACGTTCGCAATGTCTACACGAGGCGTTCCTCGGGAAGTTACTTACGTCCGCACGATGCGAACGGATCACATTCGGTATACATAATTACAGTTAATCGGTTAGAATGATCGTGAGAATGCAACAACAAAAAGAAAAAGAACAACTCTTTACTGACTGACTGATAAATAAACATATAAACACATAAAATTTATTAAGAATCAATAATAAATAAACGTAACGGTCTTGTGCGGGATATCGGGGATATCCGCGAGATATCCGGAGCGACGCGTGTCGCGGCGCGTCCAAACTCTCGGCCGGCGAATATATTCAAGATCGACGCGATCTGCGCCAATCTCCGTTACGATCCTGGTTCGTCATCGGGGGAGGGGGGGGGAGGGGGGAACGAGAATGAGGGATAACGGGTATATTTCGGCAATTCAAAATTCTATCCCGTCCCCGATTTGTTCTAGTTTTTTTTTCGTTTGTTTTTGTTTTTGCTTTTGCTCCGTGTCAAACTTGCTCTGCGAATGTGTTTGTTTTTTTTTCTCTCGCGCGCGCGCTTAAACTATTTATTATTACTTAAGCTAACTACCAGAATGATAATCAGAATGATGACAGCTATCGTCACGCAGATCGATATCAGGATCAATTTCTGTAAAATAAAATAATTCTGTGACCGCTTAGGAAAACAAAGCGAGAAGAAAAAGGAGGAAGGTGTAGAATGAAATGATAGCGTTTGCGATTGAATTGAAATCGACGGTTTCGGATAAGCGCCCAAGATGAAATGACAGTTCCGACTTCGAGCGTTTAATTGAATCATTAGATATTCGAGTGGAAGAGCGTTTATAAACGCTATTTATTACATTCGCGTTCATTCAGCTACAGCAACATTTGCCTTGCCAAATCTATATTGACAATATTCTTCCGGTGTCTTTTTCACATTTTATTGCTTTCATTCAATAACTTATTATTATTATTATCATTATTATTATACAAAACGTTTCCATATTTTTCTTCGCCATCTTTGGATCTCTCAAACAACAGGAAACCAATATTCTCCTGACAAAAATTTTATTTGAAACATTTACTATATATTGTTAAGAATAAATTGTAAATTTTCGACTTAGCATTCAACTTATTCACAGAATTTATAGATAAAATCAAATGCAGCAAACTTGAAGAACATCTAATATATATTCACGCACGAATAATATATATTTAATTTCATATATCTCGAAGTACGGAACAAAATTTTCGTTTTCTTTTTTTTTCGGTCAAATAAATGGCAAATGACAAATGCGTATAAAGCGAAATTTCCGACGATGAACTCGAGTTTCCTCCAGAAACCAGGTCGTCTCCACGTCTTTACAGGTTTTTGCGGTTAATTGCAAGCACTATAATTATGGATTATACAAATAAAACCCTGATAAGACGGGTATCCCGGAACCGAAGTTACCGCGTCTCGGCGAGGTCGCGCCGTCGTTTCAAGACATTCACGATCCGAAGGAATACGTCGAGCGGCGTAATGAAGTGTACTTACTGTTAACGAAACGAACGGATGAGTGCGGATTATTACACGTTAATTAGTCGTTCGTTACAGAAATTAGTTCGGAGGATTATCCGTCATGTAAGATTACGGAGAGACGTGTGTGTTATGTTATAGGATCGGCGCGGGACATCCGTTTTATTATCTGCATTTTCCGTTTTCCCTTGCGTTCTTCTTTTGGCTCAGTGCACGTGCGATTTTTTTAAGGTATAACGTTCACAGCTCTATTATAGGCAACCACCACCACAATTGCTCCAACGTTCATTCCCATTCCCTCCCACGGCACTTCTGACTTCACACTGCACATCCGCGATCTCACGCGTTTTTCCTTTCTCCCCCAAGTTGACCGCAACTACGTTTCTGCAGTATTATTGTATTTTGCTATTATTATATTATTACTACTATTAATGTTATTATTATGACATTTTCGCTGCCGCGTTGCACTCGTTTTCCATTTCTCTTTCCTCAAGGCCTTCGCCTTCGAAACTTTTAAACGCTCCTTGTCTCCCCCCCCCTCCCCTCCCTCGTCTTCTTTTAAAAAAACACCCCCCTCGGCCGTTTAGGTTCTCGGAAGGCACCCTATTATTATGGCGACTAATATGACCAACGATATTAGGACGCAGATTATGATGAAGATCATTTTCTGTGGACAGAAAAGCAGAGAAGGTGTATAAGGTACGCGTGTATTTGCGCCTCGGAAATCGACGAAGAATTGAAGAAATCGTAAGAGAGAAAAAAAAGATAGTGAGGGTGTATCGATATATAAACGTTACGCGCGGCGTGCCTCATGAGCAAGTTGTAAGAAAGCCGAAATACGTAAAAATACGTACCTTCGAAATAAATCGAGAAAGTAAAAAGAGAGAAAGGAAAACGAGAAAAATATTTTCGGTAACGGCAAAAAATGAAATAAGAAAGAGAAGGAAAAAAACCTTGCAACCTCTGTGTACAAGTGCAGTGGATCGGAAATCAAAACTCGAAATTCGCAGGAGAAGAAGCGAGTGTGTGTGAAGCGTGTGAGAAGCGTGTGAGAAGCGAGTGTGTGATTCAACGTGTTCAATCGTGCTGACTTGCATTACCGCGTACAAGTAATGCACTCTGATCAATAAATCATAATCAAAAGGAAGAGAAGAAAGAAAAATCTTATTTCTTGGATGCATGCGTGTAATTTTTTTCTTCTAAAGATGTTTTATCAAATACTTTTATTTTCCTTACTTGTTAATTCGTAAACGGTTAAAACGCAAAAGAATTGTAAAATAATAATGAAATTAGAGTGACGATAATAATTTCATTACGCGAAATTAAACATTTTCTGCAAGTAAATTTAAAAAAAAAGAAAAAAATTGTTTGATCAATAGATCCAACGATGTATAATATTTTAATAAAATAGATATAAATGTTTCAAAAATGTCCAAAGAAAGCTAAATTTTTCAATATTTATAAATAAAAAAGTATATTAAAATGAGATTTTAAGATCTTAGGATAAATGTAATTAGGCTCCTACTGCTCTCTTTAGAATTAAAAGAAATAAATATTTTGGTTAAATTTTTTAGAAAGAATTAGAGAAAAATTTGTGGAAGCAATGCATATTATTTAAAAATACGTACAATCGTACACATTACTGTGTACATAATATTATGGACGATAACTTTTCTAGGGAAGAGGCGGTGAGTTGTTGTAAAACATAATCAAGCACATTCCACATACAACTAATGATAAATGCGGGTGCGTTTAGAAACTAGTTAGTCATAAATACCAAACCATTCTACTCGACCATAAAGACTCGTTTGTCCGCTACCTACTTCATTACATCGTCTCTGTGCAAATCTAGAGAACACCGCATTCATCTATCCTTGTACTATTAGTTCTACTCGACATCGATTATACACTTCATCTCTTTTACCGCGATCCCACGATGGGCTTCGATCGCGGAACGTACTCTCGCAAGCGTAACACAAAGAACAATAATACAATTAGCACGAGTGCAATTGTACTGTACACTAAACACAAGAGATTGAAGGTCAATCACAAAAAAACAAGGTTTTGGTCCCACTCGATGCGAGGTGCCTGATCGTAGGTAGTATCAGAGACGAAGGAAAGTTTCAGGAGCAAAAAGGAATTTTTCAGCAATTTTTGATTCATCTTAAATTGAACAAAATCTTCAAAATCTGATGCTCAAAACGTGAGTGTTTTTCAAATTTGTTGTCTCGTTGTCAGTAACTTTATAGATATATACATGGTGTCCCGAAATTCGCGAATCAAAATATTGTAGCAAGTCTTCGAAAAATTAAGTAAAAAAGTAATTTGGAATTTTTTATTTTAAGCAGTTATTTTTTAGATATAAGAGTTTAAATTTAGCCAATTATAGATTACGGTTAAACGAAAATATGTCCATGAGCGCGTCGATAGTATTAGTAGTCGCGCACTTCACGCACGTACTAATCTATAATTGGCTAAATTTAAACTCTTATATCTCAAAAATTACTGCTTAAAATAAAAATTTACAAATAACTTATTTACTTAATTTTTCGAAGACTTTGCTATAATATTTTGATTCGCGAATTTCGGGACACCCTGTATATATATATAAAATATTGTATATATATATATTTATACAATATTTTTTAAAATTATTTAAGGCATAGAATATGAAAGAAAATCAATATTTTAACGATATTCCAATCGTATGTATTAATGTAACACGTGTGTGTGTGTTTTCATTTTACATTTTGCATATTTTCTTGGGCAGACATTCTTAAATCGCGATCTGATAGTTTTTGCTATTTTTAACATCCATTCTTTGCGGCAAACTGGACGAGTTCCAATTGAAACGTGTCCGAGTGAAAATGTCCGCTTTGAGGATCACAATGGCGATAGAGAGGTCAAAATTCCACGCGAAAACCGCGCGCGGCGCGGAGAGGAGAGAAAATGATAACAATGCAAGAGAAGAATGTTGCTCCGTGATAATGTTTTGAAATCCGTCGCACTTGATAAAACTTCAAATGAAACTCTCTTTCGAAACCCCCTGTTGAATAGGCACTTATTCCCTTTTGCTCCTTTCTGCCGGGCTTCATTCATTCGCGATGTCGTCTTTTGATGAACGCCGCCAAGCGAAACGGTTCCTTATCGCGAATACCGTACTTCAGAGGCGTTCAGTAAATCCTCTGAGTCAACTCGCGGGGAAAGACTACTACTTCAATGGATTCCAAAGAAATTATTATCTCACAAAATTCGCGATGCCGGCGAACCGAAGAAAAATCGAAAAAAAAAAAACAAGAAAAAAGGACGTGTTTTCTCGAAGATAACTTTCAAAGGAAGAATCGAACGAACTTCCCTCTCGAAATTCAATACGGTATTTAACGAGTTAGCAGCGTTCATGTTGTGGTCGAGCTGATTCGAAACTCGCGAAATCTGTTTCCTTGCCACGGGAAGGTTTCTCCGTTTCCTCAATATTACGCGAGAAACAGATTTGTCCAGTTTCGACCCGAGTGCGCTCGATCACTGTGTTTGGTGTCTGACGTTCTTTCTTTACCTTACGAGCCTTGCTTCGATACTCTTCGGCTTTGATCAGCTCGCCTCGGGCCTGGCCCACGTGGTCGCTGGTCTGATTCACGCAGTACTCAATGCTGTCCACCATCTCACCCTGCCGTACCGCACGTGGGAGGACGGGAGGTCGAGATCGAGGATGGAAGATAAGGGAGAGGAAGGAGATATGTGAGGATTTCGCGGGTGGGACCAGGTTCACTCGTCGAGGGGAACAACCTCGGGGGAGGGGGGGACCGGGTGCGCACCCAGGGTTACATTTATGTACACATAATCGGCGAGTATGGAGAGAGAGAGAAGCAAGACATCCCCGCGGCCAGGAGAATGCCCCAGATCCCCAGCGTCGTGTGCCCGTGCGAGGGGGCGGCCAGGCACATACACACGCACCGTCGTGTTTTCACATCGACACACAGTCACACACGTATATATATATCCATATTAGTATTCGACAGCATATAGAGATTAATACGCAAGGTTAATAGTATGAGTAGTAGTAGTAAACAGAGCAGTTGATGGACAGAGGCACACAATTAGCACACCCATGTTTCGACAGAGAGTACAGAGAGCGATGTACAGGTATATGTATAGGAGAAGGGACAGAGAGAGAGAGAGAGAGAGAGAGAGAGAGAGAGAGAAAGAGAGCGAGAAAGAAAGAGAATAACACGCATACATACAACAATATATATATATGTATATAGTATAATATAGATATATACATTTATATATCGTTTACGATCGAGCGCGAGTTGACACGAATACCAATGACCGACAAATATAAAATTACACACGCAAATAAACGAAAAGAAGAAATCAACAAAGCGCCGTCGTTAGTTGCTTATGCGTCGAGGGGAGGCGGGTAAATGTGGAGTAAATGTACACCGATTAATACAGATTATAGCGAGGATACGTATATCATCAGAAGCGTAATAATTGAACAACGGATAACATAAGTAGAGCGTTAATAAAAGGGGTGGGGG